GAGATGTGACGTCAACGCCTTAGGTGCAAAGAGCCCATATAAGGATATATAAATATATTATGTCTATGGTCCTGAACTGCGAACAGAACATAGGCGGCTGTTAATGTTAATTAAATATTTGGAAGTATGGCCAACACGGTCTGAACGGATTCTTTCATTTCCTCCGCCGCCATTGCTAAAACTACAAGCAGACTACAAATTCAAAAACAGCGCAGAAAATCGACGTAATCGTTCAGAGCTTCTTCTGATTGAATGCTAAATGAGACAACAGAAACCATTAAACTTTGCACTTACTTGCAACTTTTATTTTTTTGCAAATACACTAGAAATGTTTACAAAAGCACTGTATAAACATTTGTGCAGTGTAAATTATCAAAACTAAAAATGAATATTACTTTGATGAAATCATTTTGCACCTAAAATGACAAAAAGGTGGGGGATTGTCATCATCAGCAGCAAAACAAGTTAGTACAAGTCAAAGGAAATGTCTGTTAGAATATCAAAACTGGGAGAGGTGGTCGTTACAAATCAACAGGTAAATCAGAGTAACGGAAGGATGGCACTAAATCAGCAAAGGAGGCGTCATTCATCCAAATGTTACACTTTGTCAAGATAATCAGCCTTCCAGTGGACCACTCCAGTTTGACAGAAATGTTAACCACTCAAACACAGCACTGCGTCACTAACTGGTCCATCTTTTACACTTTTGTCTTTTACATTTTCAGTACAAATAAAGAATTGAAATGATCAATAGTGAAATAGGTGGACAAAAGAAAGGGCTAAATAAGGCTACAGACAAAAGGAAAGTAATACAACTTACAGAAACTCAAAAACTTAAATATTACTTGGCCCCTTTAAAGAAACATTCACAATTTGTTTATTTTTTTCCTCACACAACTCCGTATTGCTTTGTCTTACATAACACTGAGATTTTTGCTTTTCAAAGAGCACTGATTACTTATATTCTGCACCAAGTTTTATTTATTTATTTTAGAAAAAGAAAGAGATACCCATTATTTTTTCTTGTTAAAAATTCTTCGCCTTAGTGTAAAAAGGCACACACTCACACGTGCGTTCACACAACACTGTTGCAAATACTTCACATAAGTGGTGGCACAATTTTTCTCTTTTTTTTCCCCCTCCTTGTCAAAGTTAGGCGGTGGCGGTTTAGTGGCACAGCAGTTATCGCAGAGAGCAAACACAGCGCCCAGAGTGGATCGATTGGGGTTATCTTTGGTCGAGCCGGACTCATGGGTCAGCGGAGTGGAGTGCGGATCGGGTCAGCGTGTTTGAACAGGATGACTCTGCTCCCTGGATTAAGGTTTTTCAGGGATATTAAGCAAGGTGAAAGACTATGAACTTTGAGTTTGCACAAGGTGGTAATTGGCTGCATGCATGGAGCGAACGCATCCAACTTGAAAACATTGACTTTTGGCTCAGAGGTTAAATACATACTTGTAAAACTGTTGGCTCAGCACAAATAAATGTAAGAAAATCGTCTTTTTGGGGAGGATTTTGGTGCACCTTTTGGGAAAAAAAAAAATTCAGAACTAATCTGAATTTTAGTTGGAAATATAATAGATGATGCAAGCGTGGCTCATCCCCTTTAAAGACATTTAAACCGACTAATAGCTCCCAAGATGATACATATGATATGCTCAGATCCTCTTTGTTTAAATACATGAGTGATTTCAGTATGATGGATTTGGAAACAGTGATAACTAATCGCTAAGTTTAATAGATGGCAGCAAGCTTTGGGCTTTGTGCTCAGGCTGGCAACAGAAAAAAAGCCTCCAGAAACCCAATGAGAGCACAAGGTGGTGAATACAAATACGAGTCCATAGGTCATGGCAATTTTAGCAGCAGTAACAAATACAAAAAAATATCAAAAAGAAGACACTCCAACTGGTGTCTGAAAGCAGGTAACAGAGACAAATCTTTGAAATGTACTGAATACAAATGGACCACTTGAATTGAAACAATCAGGACAAATGACGACAAAACATTTCCAGGCAAAGTACAGGACATTTTTTTTTTTCAGGTTGATAGTTTTATGGCCTTATATCCTCTCGCTACCAGAGACCGCTGGAGGGAGTCTTGACAAATGTGGCGGACACACAGAGAAGACGTAAGACAAACAGTGATTCAAGTGCTGTGTGCCGAGTTTGCCTGAACGCCTGCAGCTACTTGGCAAACTGAGTGAGTGCACAGCGGCGAGCGGCACGCCGGGGTCCCGGTCTGAACACGCACGGCACCTGACAGTGTCTGACAGATCAGCTGCAAATACAAAAACAAAAGAAGAAAAAAGAAAAAAGAAGATTCCCGCAATCCAAATTGTGCTTTTCATCTCTAATATGTAGCAGTGAGGACGAGGAGAAGCATCGACACCAGAGTGAAATTAGCGTCTCTCGGCACGCCTGTGACTGCCAGCTGGATTTGGTCAGAGGTATCTCAGTTAGTTCCCCTTTAAATATGTACAGTAGAAGTGTTCCCAGCTTATCTGAATACGCTGAACCCTGGTAAGGCAGAAACAGGTTCAAGTTTCCCTTGTAAGTCAAGTTGGTGTTTTATTCCTTTTTTTTTATAATTTATGAATATTTTTATGAATTTTAAAGCGAAGATGCCTCAGATCAGGGATTTTCACTCTAAATAGTGTTTTAAGGAAAGAAAACCTGGGAGAAAAGGAGAATGAAAATCACGAGTATTTCAGGTTTCATACTAAACTGTGCCTGCATTAGGAAAAAGACAGTAGTCCATTTAAAAATAAAGGTGCGCACACAGATTCACCGACTCATACTGGAAGTGCAATGTGAATAACCTGCAGGTGCACTAGCTCATCTTGGAAAAAAAGGCTCAGTTGTTGGTTTTTTTATGCTTTCCTTACAAAATATACTAAGTTTACGTTTGCTTGCAAATCCGCTAACTCGCCTGATCCCAGGAGGTTTTCCAGGTTTGTAAGGGATTTTTAATCTGACGGCTCAAAGTTTTCTCCTCTCGCAGTGCTGACAGAAAACGACTGCAACACCTACCGTTGTTCGAGTTAAAGCGAAACACTGAGTTTCACCAGCGGCGTCTGCCCAGAGGATCATGCATCCGTGTGCAAGGGGGACGACTACGCTAAGTTTTTAATTTTCCCTTAGTAGAATTATGGAGAAAGCATTTTTGCATTATATTCCTGGTTGAACCCAACCATTTCCAGTCTGAAAAGTCCCTGTGTTCAGGGTCTGCCAGGATGGAAGTGTTTACGCACGGTGGGGGAGGGGTTGGTTGTGTTGCAGTCCTGCAGGCAGGAGGATAGACGGCCAGAAGAGTGCTCAGGAAGAGGATCAATGTCTTTGTAGGCTAAACGATCTCCGGGGTTTGTGTCGCACTGTGTCCTCCCCCACCCATGCTAATGAAACAACCCACAGCCCTCCGGATCTCCACGCTTGGGGAGAGGAATCCTCAATCAACACTTCTGGGCCTCCACCGGCGACATGGCAATGTAGGAGCCGTTCTTCATCGGCTGGTTGGCCGGCTTTTCTGATGAGTCGTCCAGCTTGTCGCTGACTTGCGTGTATGCGGTGTCGTCTTTCGCCGTCTGAGCAGGAAGAGTAACGTCAGTGCAAAACAACATATTGTTGGCATAATGTCCAGCCCCATTTTAAACATCAACATCACAATGGAATCAAATGCTTTGACTTGAAATGTTTTACGGTACAGTTCAAAAACAAATCAAATAAAATGGGAAAAATTACAATGGAGGCGAGAAACAAATGTTTTGATAAATGAAAACAATTAGAAATGAAAATTTGCAATTAGAGATGCACTGAAAGAATGACCGACAACTGGAATCAATTGGTTTAAAGGTGGCCGACTATGCTGCCTTGAACAGGTTAGGATAGGTCCATCATCTGTACAAACATGTTCACTTTTTTTTAACAAAATTATTCTTAGACAATGAGTCTGGTCAGTTTTGCCTATTTTGAGCTCCTGTCATAAAGAGCTGTTTTAGGGCATCTTGTTACTTTAAATCCAAATAGGCTGCTCCTGACCACGCCCCCCACTCAACATTTACACTCGCATGAAAATGGCTGCAGCAGATGCACATTTATACAACCGTATATCTTTGAAAAGTAGAAGTGGAGCGTTCTTCACAACCAACAAGAATGCAGCAAGGACGGCAAGTCAATAACAAAACACTTGTTTTTTCCAGCAGCCATTGTACAGCAAATACTGCAGTAAAACCAGGTGACCAAACGTGCTGGAGCTCAGCTTGGGTTGCTAGGTAACGGTGGAGCTTTGCTGGAGTTGCTAGGCAACAGGCAGTGCCCGCTGATTTGTGACATTACACTCAGAAGGTTCTTGAAAATGTTTGTGTTTTTTTTAAGCGTTTTGGCTGTTTTTAGAAGCAGTAGAGATCTGAATGGAAGTATAAAAACGTGCGAGAAGTGAATTTGGTGTAATGGGTCTCCTTTAAGTGTTAGCTTGGCTCTGATTGGTGAACTAAAAAAATACAATATTCTTCCAGTCAGTGAAGGCGGCATGCCTGAGCACTACCAGGTGTGTTCGCGGTCACTGAGGGAAAAGACTGACAGTTAGTCGCTTTCAGTGCAAGTGATGACAGCCATTTAAAAGGAAGCCATATTTTTTTTTTACACGTCGAGACATGTCACTGGTTTATTCAGGCTGTGAGAAAACAAGAGCGAGCAAGACTTTCAGCAGACAACAAGAAGGCTTAGCAGAGAAACAGCAAAGTTGCTTTATTTTATCCGTTAAAGTGTTCAACCTCAGCCAGTCATGGAATATGATGGGTTTGGAAACGTTGGCAGGTCTTTGAAAACCTCAGTAATGCTAGCCATGCTAATCGCCAATATATGATGCTAAAGCTGTTTTAATGTATTTATGACATAAATAATTAGTTTATCAATAAATGCACATCTCTGGAAAGCTGGGAAATATTCTGAGTAATTAATTTTTCTGAATTCTTTAAAGTTCCCATCTTATATTTTTTTAGGATTTGGGTAAAATCTGCAACAGCAGGTCGGAGCTTATCCAAAAGAAAATTCTTATCAGTGCATCCCTTCCAGAAAAGCCACAAAAATGTTAAAAAATGAGAATAAAAACAAAGGGAAACTGAAGACTTACAGTGAAAGAATGAAAAGCCTCGGTAAAATCTATTCGTTTAACTTCATTCTAAAAACAGAAAGGACAAAAATAACGGGGTTAAACAGAAAACTTAAATCAGAACATGGTTAATAAAACATTGCAATTAAGCATTTCTTAAGAGGAAATACCCCAAAAATCCATGATTTAGGGAATAAACCGAGCTGCTTAGCATAGCAGCGCATGCAGCAAGATAAGAAAAAACAAATCCATCCTGGTAAAGAAACTCGGCTGATAAAGTTTTTGTTTTAACTTGAACCTGGTTGTTTCTAGCGTTGAAGCTAAGCTAGGAAAGGCGGATGAATCCGTCGGCATCGTTTCAGCTTTACAAGGTCATAATCGGTGAAAACGTAAAAACTCCCTCTGTGAAAATAAATCGTCTTCATCTTAAACTGCAGCTCAAGCCAGGTTTGGTGTTCATCAGGAGGTGCATCATGACAGACATTCCTCAAACAAGCCGAGTAAATGCCAGCCTTTGCCTTTTTTAAGTCCATCATTTTATAATAAACTCCGATCTTCAAATTATAACATGAGAAAATCTTTTTTCCCCCCTTTTTCTCCAATATTTTTATAATTTTTTTCTTATATTACTTTAGTGTGAAGGCCTTCTAATAACATATGAACAGATTAATCAAAATAATTTTTAAACCCCGTTTTTTCTTCATTTTCCTTTCAAAAACATATTACAAGATGAGACATGTGGCGACTTGTGACTTTACCAACTTGCACAACCTTCCAACCAGTCACGTCACTAAACATCAGATTGTGAAATAAATCTAAAGAAAAAAGAAGGAATTGTTTTTCTTTTGTGGCGATTCATCCTTGTATTTCTCAGCCCTTTGCCTTAAACTGTGTGATGACACAATAATGAATTAAGTTACTGCAGGTAAAACAGGACAGCAGTGGATGCCGCTGCAGGTTGAAATCCAGTGGACAGTACACTGCAAAAACACAAAATCTTACCAAGTATTTTTGGTCTTTAGTTAGTGTTAATATCTTAGTACACTTGAAATAAGACTTAGAAGTACATTTTCAGCAAGTTGCATGATAATATTAATATTGATGAAAAAGTACTAGTTCCACTGTCAGATTATTTAACTTATAACAAGACTTTTTTCCTGTATTATGAGTGAATTAATCTGCCAGTAAAACAAGCATTTTTTTATTCATATTAAGGATTGTTTTACTTAAAACAAGCTTGTATAACTTGTAAAAAGTTACTTGTAAGTTAGTTAGTTAGCCTTATTTCAGGTGTACCAAGATATTTGCACTTGAAACCAGACCAAAAATACTTAAGATTTTGTTTTTGCAATGTATTGGTTTTACTGTGTAAAAGATTTAATAATTTTTCCATATTCTCCCCTATAACATTTTAATGGTCCTTTGTTTTTATCACACTGGGTCCATTTTTCTGAGAGCAGGAAGCTCTGTGGATGACCTAAAGCAGCCAGGATACCCAAAGCATCAGAGAAGCACGTCAGAGACGACAGCAGCACTTCCAAATTCTTCTTTTGTTATCTGAATTAAAGTGATCTCAGACTCTGTTGAGGCTACAGTTCAAAACCACGCATCAGTCACTGCTGGAGATAAGAGGGGGGCCATCAATCCTGAGGTTACTCTGGGTTGTTAACCTACAGCTGTGCAGACTCAAAGGGAACTGAGATGTTTTTCTTCCTTAATTTGTCAAAAAGTGCATTCACTGCTAGAAAACTTTAAAAAGCACCACAAAGCACTGCAAAATCACAAAATTTTACCAAGTACTTTGGTTTCTAGAGGAAATATCTTAGAACAGATGAAAAAAGACAAAACTAGCTTATGAGTAAATATTGAGCAACATATATGAACTTGTTTTAAGTCAATAATTGCTTAAAATACTTAATTACTTTAACTTATAATATAGGGAAAATGTCTGAACTGGAAAATGAGACAATGCAACAAAATCTCCCACAGGACATGAGAGTTAGTCCTTAATTAAGAATACTTTTATCAACTTAAAAAGTATTTAAAAAATATGAAGTCACATTTATTAAAAATTGTTACAAAGTAATGTGAGCAAAACCCTATTGCTAAAGACTCAAGTAGAACATTAAATCTGGTAAAAACGTCTTGTAATAAGTTAAATAACTAGTACTTTTTTCATTAATATCAAGGAATTATTTATATTAAACAAGCTTCTATATCTCGCTGAAAAGTTACTCGAGTCAATTTTTGTCTTTTTTCAGGTGTCCTAATGTATTTGCACTAGAAATTAGACAAAAAAAAATTGATAAGATTTTGTGGTTTTGCATTGTGTGACATTTTACTACTGGAAGAGTGAACACATTCAGGACTGATCCTGAAAATAAATGACTTCAATCTGATGTTACTGTGCAAGACTGATGGAAAAGATCAGACTTTTGCTGATGATCTATTTTGGTTTTTTGCTTGTGTCAGATCTCAATTAACTGAGACCTGACAAAGATATTCGCACCTGGTCTGATGAAGGCTAGGTTCACATTTGAATCAAAAATACTTGGTAAAATTTTGTGGTTTTGCAGTGACCTCCATTAGATCCAGAATGCTGAAAACTGCTCAAGCTGGCTTTACTGCCTACAAATCATGCGGTGTGTGAGTGAACGTGTGCAGAACTTGCAGCTGCCGAGTGCAGTTTGTGCAGTAATATGCAAAAGTACAAAGTTACATGTACTTATCAGGTGGAGGCTGAATTAGGGCCATTGTAGATTAAAAAAAGGAGTAAACGTCTGCCAAAAAACTCAGAAATTTTGAAAATAAACTCAAAAGTAAATTTCTCAGTTTGAAAAGTTTAAACTTTGCTAGACAAAACTCTAAATGCCCGAGTTTCTTTCAAATGTCCAAATTCTCCAAAGAAATTTGGAAATTAAATTTAATTAAAAAAAAACTCCAAAAGTTGAAAATTTTCTATTTTTTTTTTCACTCAGAAGTTTCCAGTTTATTTTCCAGAAACTTTCTGAGGTTTTTTATAGTAAATTTTTAACTCTTAAAACTCAGAAATTTCCTAAGTTTTGCTAGAACATTTCTGAACTCAATCACAACATTTCCGATTTAAAATATAACCATTTTTTTAATCTACAATGGCCCTAATATGCCATGGTAGTTTCGCACTGCGAGTTAATGTAAGCAGAAAGCCAAATAGCAGTGAAATGCAGAGCAAAGTTTCTGTTTCTTACCTTCTTCTGACGGTTCCTGCAGAACACCACAACAAGCACCAGCAGCAGGATGATCCCCAACCCCACGATGAGCAGCGGGAAGTTTGAGACGAGAGTGACGATGAGGAGCAGCGTCCTCATCTGAGACGCAGAGTTGTCATCGATGGTTGCCGTCTACATTTGGAGAGAGATAAGGTTGATTTGTGGTTCAGGCGACGTTACCAGAACGTCGGAGGTTCGTTTCTGAGTGTCTCACCTCGTTGACAAACATGATGGGGAAAATTGTCTCGTTGATTAACTTTGTTTTACTGAAAACAAAAAGAGACGGAGGTTAGGAGGAACATCTGGCACAACATGCTGCCTGGATGTTGACAGAGTGTTGCAACAGGAAAGTAGGTCAGAGTTCAACAGCGAGACTTACGGGAAGCCCGGGACTCTCTTCAGGATGATATTGAGCTGAGCTCTCTTACAGGCACGGATGGGAACACCAGTAGTCTGCAAGAGAGCCGACAAGCACATTTCCTTAATTTCTACACAAAGGAAGGAAACTGCCACAAAAAACATCAACATTATGCTAATGATCAATTCAAACGGTACGATTTGAGGATTGGAAACATGGCAACATGTTTGAGCGTATCAGAGGCAGGATGGTGGTGGCAGCGTCATGATATGGGACTCCTTTGTTAGCCTTGTTGGCTTATATCTGCAGGATACTCCTGGCTATGATGAATAAAGGGCATAAAAATAAAATCTCAGGTTTTTTTTTTCCCCCCCATACTAATTGATGTTTTTCTTGATTTCTTTTATAAAAGTGAAATTACAAATGCCAGAAAACATTTTTAAAAAGTGGCCTTTGTTTCAATCGTCAGAACATTAGGCCTTGGCCAAGAGAATTTCGGTTTAACTAAGAGAAAATAGCAGAATAAAGACGCAATTTTACCAGAAGAATGTCTTAAAATCACAAGTAAAGTTGTTTTAATGAGAAAAAAAGTTGGATAAAAAATTTTTTGTTGGAGTTTTAATAAAATTACTACTTCACTCTCTTCATATTATGATTTTATTCTGCAACATTGACTTTATTCATGTTATTAAATAAGACATAGTAGCCTGACCCTTGTATTTTATCGCAAAACTTGAATTCAAAATAAAAATGAATAGAAGCTGTAAAATATGCTTTACTAACAAGATGGCCGCCTTGGCTATGCTGACATCACTCTGAACTATGGAAACCCTAAGAGTTAATTGGTGAATAAAATATATATATATATATATATATATATATATATATATATATATAATAATCACCTAAATCTTCAAAAACCAAAAATTCAAGATGAGTGTATGCAAATACAAATAATTCTATATACGTTTGTATCTGTCCTTTCATTCCATGTTGATCAAGTCAAAATAAAAAGATGACGACTCAAAATCACAGTAAAAGCAGTGATCCTGATTCAGATGTTATCAGTGGAGGTTTTAACTGTTTGCCGTACCGGCTGTAAATCCAGGTACGTCTCATGTTCCTCCTTGTTGGGGTTCAGCCCGTCGACGGCGTTGATGTACGCCGGGTCGGCCTGGTAGAAGTGAGGGAAGGAAACGACGATGGGAGCACCTGGAAAGAACCGAGACAGGTTGGCGTTTGCAAAACAAATAAAGGTCAGAAAGAGAGGCATGCGAGGAACAATCTGGAGATTTTTCACATCATAAACAAACGCTGACAGCGAAAGATGGAGTGTTCATAAAAGCTCATTTAAATAAGGAGGATTTTATTACAGGCTTTTACATTGACTACTTAAATTTTCCTACTGTACAGTAAAATCAATTCAAACTTAGGAAGAAAGAGCTATTGGGTGCATTACCTACAGCTGCAGGTAATGCATCAACATTAAGCACTGAGCGAGAAACATGAGACATAAACGCCGGAAACCAACAAGTCCTGAGGATTTTGCATAAAGAAATTAAGCTGATTTGTTCATGGAAATGTGCCTCGGCTTCATTTTAATACTTCATTTTAAGGTTGTATTAACTATACAAAGTAGTTCAAAAAGATTCTGCAGCTTAAGTACAGAAAGTCTGTAAAACAAATTGAAATAGAGCATTTAAGTGTTGTCCGTTTTAAACAAACGCCTCAACCAAGGCTCATAAAAAGATTAGTTATTGGGCGTCGAGTTAAATATTAAAATGAATCAGCAGAATATGATTCAAGTTCTCAGTGAGTCTGATGCTGCCGTTTTTAATCCAAAATGCTTGATTTGCACATAAAACTGCACTGTCTGTAGCTTCTGAAAATATGAATGAAACATAATGTTATCAATTACCCATTTTCTCCGTTTGTGTTAGTAACAACTTTTCTAAGGTTTAAATGGAAATTCAAAACATAAATTACACCAGAATAAAAGTCTCAGTTTCTACCCTACCTTACTTTTTTGCATTTTGATAAATCTTATCCTGCTTTCCCCCCCGCCCCCATTTAAGGAAGAAAACTCCTCCCACTCTGCTTTGCCGTCACTTCTACCTTTACGCACCCACTATAAGATATTATAGGTCATTTTCCTACTACTTTACTGCTTCAACACACCTGAATGAAATGAATGGTTCACTAACAGGCCTACGCAAAACTCTATAAAGTTACCAGTCACCAACATTTTCCCCCTTTTGTCTGAACCTTTATTGCACTTGAGAAGTTTTGAGTTTTGTCTAAAATGCAAAATGTCTATATTTTCTGTACAGTTTCGGCTTCAAATCTGCTCTGATTATGCAATTTCCTCAAAATATTTTCTTTTTTGAATCCGTATACTCCAGTTAATTAATTACTAAATTAGTTGGCGATTATTTCAATAATCAATTTATTGGGATTAATCGTTTAAGCCCTATACTTAAGAATGAAAATTTAAAAATAAGCTGCAAGCATAATCAGCAAGGTTAAAGGATCATAGCAGAGATTGTCTTTATTACAGCAATCCTACTGCACTTAATCAGTGCCATAAACCCTTCCTGCACAGTCAGCAGAGTTAATCATTGAACCATTGTTGAGTCAAATCTGATGAGCTCAAACACCGGGAATGTCGGCGACCAGGCGGAGGAAAAGGTCGCTGTCCAAAAGAGTGGACATTTAGGAATGAAGGGGGTAGGAAACTGTGTCATGGGGTTGGTTGTGATTGTGACATCCGGTTGGTCGGGGTCGGGTCATACCTTCTCGACAAACGCTGACTTTCAGCACCCCGGTGCCGAGGCACTCTCCCGCCGGCACGCAGAAGCCGGCGTTGGTGGGATTTTCCTTGGGGTTCATGAGAACATCGTTGGGGGGCGCGAAGCGGTACGCCTGGATTCCCTTCACCTCCACGTCCTCCACGTATGCCAGGTGAATGGACCTGAGGAATGACAGCAGTGTTGTAAGAACAACCGAGCTGCTTTCTCCCCAAGTGCTCTGGAACTTTGCTTTGGTTGCTAGGTGACGGGCAGAGCTCTGCTGGGGTTGCTAGGTAACGGGCCGGAATTCATTGGGGTTGCTAGGTGAGGACCAGCGTCTGCTGATTTGCAAAGCTACATTCAGAAAGTTTTCAAAACTACAAATTTTCCAGACACCAAAAAACATTAATTAATTGCCAGAAAACAGCTGGGAGATTTTTTTTAAGTGATCGGGTTGTTTTTAGAAACGGTAGAAACCCAAATGGGTTAAACCCCTATAGGAGAGTATAAGAACCCAAATGGGTTTCCACTGCAGTAGAAACCCATTTGGGTTCTTATACTAGAAACCCTGGGCCATGGGGAAAAAATTATATTCCAAAAATAAACTCATCAAAAACCAAAAATTCATATACTCACTAAAATCAATTCATTGCCCAGCCCTGCTAAAATTAGAGCGACACTCTGCAGAATGATTTACTGAATAATAAACCCTGATATCTCTTTCCTGGTGTTTATACTTTGCTGCCAGTCTTATCATTAGTTGTAACAGCACATGTACTCATCAGTCAGTAAATGACTTCACTGGCACTTCCTTCCATACCATAAACCTGAGCGGAAACCTTCAGTCTCCCCTCTGCCGCCATGCTTTGACTGTAAACAAATTAGCAAGAACAACAAACACACGTGCATACCGGCAGAGGTCAGCGGCGAAGATGTACAGCAGCTCGTTTCTGTCGATGAGCGGGTGGAAGACGGCGCCGTCCGTGCCGTTGATCATGTTGCTCTGATTGGAGGACCACCATGACATTTTCCTGCAGGAGAGAGAAATGAAGCAAGGAAACTATGAACAAGCTTAAGACGTCTGCTTTGTTTACACATTTAATTAGGACTGTAATGTTTATGTTGGACAAAATGGAAAGTTCACAATTTTAATTAAAGTGACGGTCTGCTGTAGTAATTTTTATTCAGGTTATACAGATTATCTGCAGACTTAAAACAACATTTTAATCTCTGAAATTTGATGGAGATCTATGCAAAAACTTTATTTTATGACCTTTAAAATAATTTTCACCTTGTATTTAACAATTATTTACAAACAAGTTAATGACTTTCTCTACTGAAAGTGGAGGTAGGAGGCGGTGCGTCACCAATAATCTTCCTGTGAGAAAGGTTCTGGGAATGGAACATGCCAAATATTTCTACCTAATCAAAAAGTGGTTTAAAAATCTCTAAAACTATGTTTTCTTAGGGTGCCAATATATTTCTTGCTCATTATACCGATGAACTTTGATACCAAACAGCTACTTTGACTAGGAATGTTTCATAGAATCCATTTTCAGTACACATTTCACTCGGGTTTCTCATTGGTGGCGCACCTTCTTCTATCTTATTTTCAAGAATAAAGCACGCAAATAATTGCCCTATATTAGAGTATAAGACATACTAAACGTAAATTATTAACTACTGACAGAACCTAACTTAAATGTTCTGAACTACGCCTTAAAGATATGAACAAACAATTAATGATTAACTTCATCCTGAAATACCTACAATATATTAATATACTTCCAAACTGCAAAGAAGCCTATTAATAAAATAAATCTCTTAGAATTTATTCCCATTCTTTCCTGATTGTCTAATTATAACCACATTTTAAAAAATTCAAATTTAATCTTACAAGACACAGATAAAATCAGATAAATAGATGGATTTTGCTTGTTCATGCTGACTGAGTTAAAACTACACTTTCACCCACATTTTTGTCTCCAAACATTCAAATTTTGCAATCCTTTTTAGCCTAAAAACCAAAGAGCAAAGGTTCTCGCCTCTGTGCGTTTTGAAACAAAGCAAACATGGATATCAGGAACGATGGACGTTTTAGGAACATGCTGACAGCAGAGTTTCATATCATTCAGACCAAAAAGCATGGCTCAACTTGAAAGTTTACCTCAGGCCATTCCAGGTGTCGATCTTTCCGTAATCCAAGTAGTTCTGCTCGCCGGTGTGAAACACAAACTCTCCCTCATGAGTGCCGTTTTTCTGTGGAGGATGAGGAGGAAACAATGTTCAGACATGTTGTGTTGAGGAGCGACACAGCAGGAAGCAGTGGAAGTGCATCTGTCAAACTGTATTTATGACCCTCTAAGGAGGGGAAAACAACAAAAAACATACTCCTTTGTATTTCCACTGACAGGTCTTTTAATGCAGGAACAACACACGCTTTTACAAGAGCAGCGCTAATGTTTACGGCTATAAATTCTAATAATTTCATTGTGTTTACAATGTTTATTTTCCTGTTCGAACTGAAACATAACAGAGAACCGAACACGGTCATTTCCGTTCATTTTCCGATCAATTAGCAAAGCTCCATCTGCGTAACCCTGCAGTCATGTGCTTGATTATGTTACCGCTTGTGACAAACTGCAGACGCTGCTCTGTCGATAGGAAGTACAAAATATTCCATCAGCATCAGGAGATGCCTCTTCAAGTGACATTACCACCAACTTCCCCCTTTTTTTGTCTTTTCAGTAACTCTGAGCAACCAGTAAGGGATATATTTACAAAAACAAAGAAAAAAAATTAAAAAACAACCTCACCTTCCACATCAGACCAAAGTATTCGTCCACATCTGGCTTAAGTTTGTGGATCTTTGAAAGGAGAGGGTCCTTGAAGCCCCACAGAATCTCATGGACGGTGCGGGTCATGAAAATTTCAATGCCCAGGCTGCTTATATACATGGAAACCATGGGCCGCACATAAAAGCTGTAGGAGTTCAACTCGTTCATCACCGCCTTTAAAATACAGAGAATGACGGAAAAACTTCACATTAACACATGGAAAGAGAAAGAGAAGCACCTTCTGTTTGGAATATTTTGCAGTTTTAAGTTCCTGTTATTTGCTTGATTTGGCCTAATGTACATTTATAGTTTATATGTTCAAAACATTATAAAATGTCACAATAAAACAAACATGACGGTGACATGAAGCGAGTCGGTGGAAAACAAATGTCAGTCAAACCAAAGGACAATAAAGCAGACACTTTGTCTCACCACAAATGGGATGTTGACTGTCCTGACAATGTCAACCTCAGGGTCACCAGCCGACTTCTCAGGAACAAAGACAAAGGATTTGGGGTTCAGGGCATAAACCTTTGTGCCATTTTCCAAGAAAGTTACATTTTCCCTTGGTCGGTATTCCCTGGTGTGGACAGGGACATCCGTTAATCATTGTAAACAATGCAACCACTTTGGCACTGAATCACATCCAGCTTAGCTGCGACTGGTGATAGCTGGGAGAAACGTCTTCATATCTTCTTAATCATAAATTAAACAAGTTATTTACTAGGCCTGGAACGATTAATCTGATTCATAATGATGAATCAGTTCTTAAAATAATCGTCAACTAAATTAATAATCAATTAATCGTTAAGTGAAAAAAAACACAAAAATGCCACTTACTGAAAAATCATCATATTAAGCCTAAACAGTACAAAATATTCACACATTTTTAAGATATAAAATACCTGTCAATATGTTTGCATTTTAGACAGAAATGTTTATTTTCTTATTTTAAAAAATGAATTGAATTATTTGTTTGTTTTCACACATTCATAATATTGTATTAATTTGCAGAATGTGACAAATTTTTTTTATCCAATTAATCAATTATCAGAATAATAATCGCTAGCTGCAGCCCCATTGTTAACAAGCCATTGTAAAAGTACTTTTATCCTTTATACTTCTTCACATTTTGCTGTTTTTTGTTATACTGTGTCAGACTAACAAAACTTGAAGAGAAGGGGGGAAAAAACAACATCTTTTATCAACATTTTAACAAATAAAATGTGGAGTCAATTTGTGTTTAGCAGCCCTGAATTGATCACTTTTAAAAACCACATTCTACTGAAATTACAAACGCATGTAGATTAGGAAATGCCTCTGACAGATTTGTCACATTTTTAACCTTTTTAGCAAAACAGCCCAATTTCAGTCAAACCTGATTAAGCAAATTAGTTTTATTTTCACTTCTGCAAAGTACTGTCTGAATAAGTTTGTAATGAAGAACTTATTTGGAAAATTGGTGTCACTTCCTTTTTCTGACATTTCCTCTGGGTGAGAATTATGTTTTGTGAGAAATAAAATAAAAAGAAAATTTTTATTAATCTGTCACTCGCTGTGAAATTTACCTGTAAGTGTAAGGGCCGATCTGTTTAACAGACGCCTTCCCTCCTGCCAAAAACTCCTCAGGATTGGTAACGTTGAAGAAGTAATACTCCATGTAAACAGGTGGGGGTGGGTTCTTCCATGACTCAAACATCTGACTCTTCTCTGTCAAAGTAATTTCCTGTCAAGAAAAAAAAAAAAAAAGCCACACATTCAAACTGAGAAACATCAGAATACCAAACAAACATTGCTTTGGAAGTGATGCTGTAAGCTTTTGGTTTCATCGTTGTCTAGGGGCGATGTCAAAGCTTTTCACCGTCTTCAATGCCAGGCCAAGAACCTCAAAAACCAAAACGGGAAAAATCTGACAGTGAATCGGAACAAAAAGCAGCAAATAGTCCAACTTCAGCAAGCCTGGGCAAAACCCAGATTTCCAGAGGCACCACCGCATTTGGAGCATCAGCCATTCAAAACTACGTGTGGAAAGTCATAAAACGCCCCCACAAAGTTAAGGCGTACACCCTCCAGGCGATTTCAAACGAGATTGGGTTTGAAATCGGGTGGAAAAAGTGAGAAAGAACCGGGCGATACAGTAATGTTTAACTTGAGCACTCAGCTGTGAAGCAGCATGTTCACTCAAGGTGTCTGCTGACTGGAAAAGAAAATCAGCATCTGGGAGGAGAGAAGTGCTCCACTTCCGTGTCATTCCCTCCGAGAGGTGCACTTCACAGAAGCCGCACATTTTGTTTTCTGTGGTCTTTCACAGAATACAGTTGAGGAAATATACCATAAGGCATGTCTAAAGCTTCCTGTTTGGGCAACAACTTCCACCATTTAAAGTGCTCTAATGGATGTTTTTTTTCTTAATTCCTCCTTTTTTTGCAAAGTTCTTCACTGGCTTGTTTTTGGAAGCAAACAAAAAAAAAAACTAAATTTAAATGAAAACAAAGGTTTTGATAGCAGAAACATCAAAATATCTTTTTATCCTAAGAAAACTCCTCAAATTAAAGATGCACCAATAATCAGAGATTGTTTGCCCAATTTTCCATTGATCAGCTCTGATTGGCGACACGCTGCAATAAAACAAATACTCCCAACATTTTCATTCTTTTAATGCTATTATGTTTGATAATGTAACAATTCCTAAATTTTTTTGTTGGGTTCAAAACAAGTACCTCTTAAAGAACCTGCTACTGTTCAATCTCTTCCACTGTGTCACAAAATAAAATAAAAATCTCCAATGATCGATCGGTGCATCTCGACCTAAACTCAGATTAAGCAGAAAAACACTGAACTACGTCTTGGTTTAAGACGTTTTCAAACGTTTGAACAAGCGTTTTTTAGTTTAGAATCAGCTCTTTAAAGGGAACTAGAGGTATTTAAAGAGCCGGACTCTCTGGAGTCCTGATGAGTCTGCTTCTTAATTAAAAACCTGAAATGAAACCAGATAACGTTAGAAGAAAAAGGTGTGACCGTCCGCTGAGTAAGAACAAATTACTACAATTTGTTCCTTTTTCTAAACAGTAACAAGCCGCTGCTTTAGAAAAGGCCTGCCTGTCATCTGGCTGCTTCCCTGCAGCCAGCGTTCAGGGAGCCTGAACATGTGACTCCAGCCTGCATGAATCGTTGTGTTTGTCAACCTTGGATAAAGGTCTTTCAAAGGGCTTCGGGCGAAGGTAAAAGAACGGCGATTTATCAGGGAAAATCCTTCCTTTGTCACAAACAAGAACATGAAGCTGTGTTTCCAGTGGACTGAAGGAGAAACGGTTTAATTAGGTTGAAAGTTGAAAAAGACTTCAGCTGCATGACCTTGCTCTTCAAGGTTTCTTAACACCTCAGTGAAAAGGAGTGGCATGAATGGGCGTTTCTTTTTTTTCCCCCCTCTTTTCAGCTTTGTCACTTGAGCTGAACATTCATTTAAGCAGGATAAACAACAAGGAATTAGGTGACGTCTTTGTGGTAAAAATGATGCCCTCAGGGATGAGGAAAGGCAACAAATTCCTGCCACCGTTCCTCCTGTGCTGCTGTACTTTTACGTAAAAGCACATTCGGCCTCAGATTAGATGCGTTTTTGGAGTCCGTTCAACACGTCTGGGGCAAGTCTGATTTATTTGGCAAAAGAGGATTAGCTATGCTGTCATTTCTTGTAACCACCAGCTGCATCAGAGTTGGATCCCTTGTTGATGAACTTTACTCTTAATTTGGGTCCCACTGAGATGCTGCTGCCCTGATTTGGACCCAAATTTAACCCTGATGTGTCTGAGGCGCAGCATCCAAGTTTCTGAAGCAGCAGCAGGAACTTTAACACTTTGATGCATGCTGAACAGAGGAGTATGAGGTATTTTAAAGGGTCTGCAGCTGCCACTAACCCCACCCAACCAGGCTACAAATTCATCAGAATCATTCAGTTCTTACTTATACAACAGCAAAAAGGAAAAAGCAAGACATTTCGCACTTTTAGACGTAGAAAAACATGTCCTATACAAAAGCAGAGGATGCCATTTTCTAATTTCACACTTTTTTTTTTTCCTGCGAAGACTTTGATTTAATGATTGCAGATTTGGACTGCGTCCTGGTAAATACCCACTGCAAAGAGAAAGAATGAAGGAGAGAGTCAGTACTCCAGATTTGGCTGCCTACTCACCCAATCTCCCTTCCCCCAAAGCTGCACACCTCCTGCCCCCCATTTACCAAACTTCTACTACTGCCTCCTGTAATCACTGAAGTGAATTAGAATGAAGCCTTCATCCTCACCAGGGGCGCAGCCAAGTACTTTTTGAGAAAGACACATTATAAGCATTTCAATGAATAAATGCAGAAATACTAGAAATTATTTTCCCCCATTTTGGCGCCCCCTCTAGCAAGGCGCCCCTATGCTTCGAATATAGTGAATTCCCACTTTTTGCGCCACTCATCCTCAGAAATGTTTTATTGGTTTACAAATGCCCTCAGAGAAATATCATACAACTTACAGATCAAGTTCCAGTCAATGAAAAGCAGAGATATGCTTGATTGAATCAAATGTTGGCACCAGGTGTTAAATATCCTCCATTATTCCCCTTCAGCGTGGGGAGTTGTAGGGGATTCCAAGCACAATTTAAAAACAGAAACCATTTGTTTAACAGCTGTGGAGCTTTTTGACTCCAAAATTATTATTTAATTCCTGCTACGATGGAGACGAACAAACACCAACAAACCATCACTAATCATTCAAATCCAGGGGATAATTATGCCCTGGCTGATGTTGCTTGCTCATCCGTGACACACCGAATGCAGCAATGATCCGTCACTGCAGACCGCAACATTTAAAGCACATTTAAAGAGAGACACACATGGGGGAAATAAAAATGACATGTTCACGGTGACTGCTCACCTGTTTTAGCCGGCTGTTGATCATCGTTTGGAAGACTTGAGCCACGACCAGGGCGATCCCCACGATCAGGAGGTGAGCGCAGACGATGCCGGTGGCGTAAATCGCACAGGATCTCCGAGTCATTATGCCGGTGTGGGGGGGGAAACTTCACTGAAGTCGACGAAAACTTCCAAAAATATATATGTAAATTTATATATTTGAAGAAGCACAGATTGAGTTGATGTAGGACCGTAAAAGGGTCGGGTCCGCCGTCTCCAGAGCAGCAGCTGCGGGTTTAAACTTCACTCTTCACCGGGGATGGCGGTGGCGTGCGGTCCTCCAGGTGAGGCTGAGGATTTTTAAATTGTTGGCACTTCTTGTCTAAAAACAAAAAAAAAAAACTAACACAATTTAAACCCCTGGAGAGGAAGAGGAGGACCAAGCTGCTCGGAGACGGAGGTGAAATGAAACAGCGGCTCTCTGCTGATCGGGAGGTAGAAAAACGGCAGCCCACCTCCTCCCCTTCCTCTACGCAGTAGGAAGCCAGTGAGACGACAGCACAGATGTAGAATACTAGACGCTACGCGAGGCCCTCTCAAAATGTTGTAAAACTTCACCAAGCATAGTCTCGGTAAAGTGGTACAATTGGATTGACTGCATTGTATTTTTTATTATTATTGTTTTATTAAAACCCTTGTCATAAACTTGTCAGAATTTGGATAAGTTTATAGAAGTCTGAAAAATACTTATGACTTCTTAACATGATCAGAAACAATAGAAAAACAAAACTAATTTGTGTGCATTTTTCTAAATAAATCAGGTGCAAAGTATTATAATTTTAGAGAAAATAAAAACAAATATTGAGAAACTACAACACAAAAATAAAATAACAAAAACTAAACTTAACATCCTCAGGTGAGCTGTGTAATAACTACAAGAAGAAGGAGAAAAACACTTTGTTTCATGTTGATTAATGTTGCTAAAATTGAATAACAAATAGTTTGGGTTGGTATATTTTTTACAGGTAAATAAAAGTTTAGCAACATGTGTTCCATATTGGTTGATCTGTCTTGTTTTGTGTTGCAGATATTAGCCATCTCATTGATTGAAGGTTCTAAAAAAAACAACAGATATTCTGTAAAGAAAGAAAACACAATTAATTTATTATAAGTTTCAGTGTTTCTTTTATTCAGATACTCTTGAATCCGTATCAACCCTCAACTTGCCACTTACAATATGGCGTACGCGCTGACGTTTGGTTTCCTCTGGGCAGCGAAACCAACTCGTGTAGCTTCTACTAGTGCGTTTCTATAATGACATGACTCGTTTGGGGCGTCTGCATGGGCGGTGTGTGTGTTTAAATAAAACGGAATCAGCTGTTGGAATACGGTCTATAGGAATGTTAATGTAATACGCCAATAGCAGACGCTTTAAAACATATTTCACTTTATATTCCAGTTCATGCAAATGTTAATAATTGTGAATTTTCTGCTGATCCCGTTATTCTTCCCGGGATTATGAATGAATTCAGCAGAGGCAGCGTGGGCTATCACATGGACTCTGTTGGTAGTAGTTACCCCACCTGGGAGCTCTTATATTTTCACTATTAATTATTTTCAGAGCTCAGATGCCATCAAACTATTCATAACGGTTCACTCTGCTCGCGCTGGTAGGAAATGAGCCGGAAGCGCGGTCCGTTAGCTTTTATACAGAAACCGCTATCTCGCCTCATCACGTCGCCTCCTTAAATAGGCACCGCGTGCGAGATAATGTTGGATTCAAACAACCAACGGTCGTTCAGGCGAGCTCTGTGTCGGGCCTCCGATTGGCTGGCGTCCTCACGGACCACCATTCGAGGACCACCCACTTTGCGCTCTGATTGGTCGGCCGGTGGTGAGAGCGATGTGAAACGCAATCGACTGATTTCAGGGCGGAGCTTCTATAAAGGGGGAACCAAAAACACAAGAGGCTCTCCTCCATCAGAGCGGAGGGGAAAAAAATAAAAACACGGATGTTTAGAGACTTTACGGAACCACACATGGTGTTTCAGAGGAGAACAATAAAATGTGGACAATTTATGACCTACATTGTACTCATAAGGAGTGTAAGGCCATCAGATAATGACAAACCTTGAGATAAGGTCATGAATCATCATCATCCTTTACCTTGATTTGATTTTAGTGATTTGAAAGGTGTGACATTAAGTAATTGAGAAACTGATAACACTGTTACTTTACAACAAATAGCTCATAATATTTCTTTTGGGTCGATAAGACTTTTGGATTAATTAATATCAAATTTGAAGATGGTTACAAATCAAATTTTGAAGTAAAATGTTTTTCTCATCTAACAGAAAAAAATACTAGTTTTGTGGATGTACAACACTATTCTGAATCCAAGTGCAGCAAATGTGACAAGGCCCAGTCAAAGCCCATTATACTCACAAGGCCATCAGATAAAGCAAATAACAAATCCACAACTGTAACCTTGAGATAAGGAGCTAGACTTGTTTAGTTTTGAGATTTTGAAGGTGTGGGAATAAACATTTAATGAAATAATAAAAATTAAATCCCACTCACAGTGCAGTGTTAATAGATTCAGATTTATTCAAGTCCCTAAAGGGAAATTCATGTTACAGCAAGTATATATAAAGAAGATAAAAAAATACTATCAAACTATTTGTGGGGCAAGTCAAAAAGTGAGCAAAAAATAACAATATGGATCAATTTAAAATGTAGATTTAAAACAAAACTCACTGTTTCTTTGGGCATAATTTGTGATGTAATTAATTTAGGCCACTGCAAATCAACTACATCTCAGGAGGTCAAACAGCTGCATATTCATTAGAAGAGTATAGCCTTCAGACATTGACAACAACAAATCATAAAAACCATAGCCTTGAGATAAGCTGCTGGTCTCACTCAGTTTTACCTTGACCACAATTTGAAAAGGTGGGAACTTAAACATCCAAGAAGCCAGTTTTTTAATAAAGTACTGTATTTTTATTTCCCAAACGATTTAAAGAATACATTAAATAATTTTTGGGAGGATGGAATTTTGTTTTCCCCTGAAAAATGTTTTCTTTTTATTTCCAGGTCCCCTTGAATCAAAATGTACCAAACCCTAGATGATAAATAACAAAAACTGAAGGTTTCAGTTTACTACCACAAAGACATTTTAAGGATTGTTTGTAATATGTCATATGCAAAAATATGACCACATTTGTTTTGCATAAATAAAACAACTCCTACATGTTTCTATGGGCGATTCACTCTGCTTTGCGGACGTTCATCCCTTGAGAGTAAATCTACTTCCTGTTTCAACGTGCATCATCAAAACAATGTGACACAAAGACAGAAACTGCTGTACTAAAAAAAATCTTTTGCACAGCAAACATGGTGCTTTGCAGTATTTTCCTGCTGGTTCAGTGACTATTGATTTTAGCTTGAAACATATTATATAGTGAGAACTATAGATGCAAGTGTATGATGTTTGGTTTTCTGCAATAATAAATGCAAAACGTTCATAAAATCGTATAAAATCTAAAACCTCTTTGAATAGTCTTTATCATCTAAGCTGCTGCAGATTATTTTTTGTTTTTTGTTTCAAAGACAAACCCACGACTGTTCCAGCAAAACCCATCTGAAATGCATCAATGTTTCAGAGTCAGAAAATGTCAAAAGGGAAATTTGCTCTAGGATTCTGCAGCACTCCAAGCATTTAGCCAGCAAATGGCTGAAACAAGACACTGGAAGCTGCAGGAACCTCCACAGTCAATGTTTACAGGCAAACACCAGCTGCTTATCTTACGAGCAGACTTCTACCCAGAATTCAAACTGATAAGATCCCGCAGCAGATCCCAAACAAGATGAGAAAGCTGAATAAATCTGACTCCCATCCAGCAGTGAGTAGTTGCATAATCACCACTCTGGTTGCATTTTTCCTTCTGCAGCGAATCTAAGACGGTTTTCACATATCAGTGTGGAAGATTTGGTTCAATTAGGAACCAAAATTACAACATTATTATATTTTTATCTGGTGCGGTTTGATTTCACGTTGCATTTTGTCAAATGATCCAAGCTAACTGAAAAACCCGTTCCCATCCTTGCCTTTGGTGGCGCTGCATTGAAGACTAGTGAAAAACACAATATGAAAACCTCTGAAGAAGACACAGAACAACTTCCTTCTTCATGAAATCTAAACAAAAACAGGCTAGCATCAGATCTTAGCAGTTGCATGATTTCAATTTTGTCTTAGGTAAAAGACTACGATCCATTTTTTCTACTAGCTTTGTTTTGGTTGTATTTACTCAGAATGCCCTGCACTATATTTGGCTTCCTGCTTTTGGCCTAGTCAACTAGGCGTTCATATATGAATTTGAACCACATCAGAGTTCATCTGATCTTAGACCTAGGTTTTTAGGCAGAGCAGAGTTTGTTTTATGGTCCAGATCTGAACAAAAAAAAAAAAACAACTGATTTTCTAGGCAAACAAACTGGAGTTTGTTTAAAGTGGACTAAACAGAGCTGGTGTGAATGCACCCTATGCCACCCTTATGAAAGCTCTCATATCTCACTGCTGACCGTTCATTTCCTACACTTCAGTAGCTGTGTTTCATTAACCAAATCGAAAATAAATGTGCTTAATGAAAACACGCCAAGTAAAAAAAAACAAATGTGTTTTTCACTAAAACGTTGTTGCTCTAGATGAGGTTTTGGTTGTATCGAAATAGATGTATTTTGCAAAACTGCAATGAAACACTTTTGTCACATCATACAAGTCACATGATCAACAGCCGGATGTGGAAACGACAAAAGATGACAGGAAGTGGAAAAAGGACGATGGTTTGTTTTAATTTCTTTATAGACAATGTGCAGCTCACAGCATTGCACAATTCATCAAAAATTGTTTCATTTCAATGTGTTGAATCCATCGGACGTCTGGAAAATCACAAACTACAGTTTACCCAAAACGCTCCCAAGTATAAGGGGTTTGATGCTCCATCAATAAGACACCATGAATCATGAATATAGATGCTTACATCTATCGCTGCTATGATTTTTATTGACTTATCACGTCATTCTAAATTAATTTCTTATTTAACGGAAACACAGCAATTGCGAAATTATGTTTTTTTCAACATTAGCAGAGTATCAACCAAGATTTGCGTACATTTGTAATGATTTATTGACCAGCTACTGTTGGTCAATGAGTCCAGCTACAAAAAGCTCTTTGGACTGACTGAAAGGTGAACACGGTCATGCAGCTCCTGTTTCATAATCCATTCATAAATAAAGTTGGACAAAAGACCACGGTTTTGCCTGAGGAAGTGATATACATCACATTATTTGATGTTGCTTGTTGGAAGGAAGTGACTGGGCTGGACTCTCACTATCAATGAAATTGAGTGTTACCTCATTGTGC